CAGTCATTTACCTGAAAAGGAAGGGTTGCATTACCTAAATTTGAAAAAATATGATGTTAAAGCACTAGTTACCAATTTGAATACTTTATGGCACTCCTCCCAATTGTGACCTCCGAGGTAGCCTAAGCTGGCAGCACGCGTAATTGCTTGCGCAACGGTGTGGGAAAAAAGCTTTGTTGCCATTTTCACCTTTTGTCGCTGGGGCCCAACAACGCTGAGGTGGCTGCTATTAATTTTGTGAGTTATTGATAACTCTGAGGAAGTACACGAGAGCAACTCGACGATTGTATCCTTCTTCACCTCCTTGCCGTTTACCGTGAAACCACTATCCAAAAAGTGGTTACGAAGAAGCTTGATGAGATGTGGTGGATCCGCAAACACAAATATTCGCCTATCATCGTACAAAAACCTAAAAGTAAGAACATTTTTTTACACTATAAAATAAAAGTAGTGTACGTATTAGGATATTAAATTTTACTGACCATGGAGTATCGGTGCTTACACCGAGATCATTAAATAGCGCTCGGTTTGTTCCGCCTAAATCGCTTACAACAGCGGCTACATGATACCCACACGTCTTCACCGAGCATATGATGCTGAAAGGTATACTTTTGTCATCCTGCAGTCGAAATCATAAAACACCGGCTGTTTCCATTTCGACATCAGACCTGTAAAAATGATTAGCCTTATTTATTGATATGTTATATTAAATACTATTATAAGTAAAAACATATGTATATACCTCTTAGCATAGCTACTTGCACGTAATCAACTGGTCCATACGTGGTGTCAGAAGATTTATCGTAGCAATATGTTTTACGAATCTTCATCTCATCGAAGCTCAGGATACATATCTTCTGAACCGCATCGAGCTGAACAGCAGCTGATAAAATTTTTGTGACCGGCTCGATTATGCCGGTGTTAATGGTTACTTTCTTCACCCACTTTTGAAGAGTACGCACTGCAGGAAGCGGGAAACCCTTCTTTTTCAGCACTCTATATACCTTCGCACTTGTCGAGTAAAACGTTATTGAGTGCGATATGTCGTCTTCAGCCCATCTCATACGTTTATTTCCACGCTTTATTTTTTTTATTTGGCCGGGAGTGAAAATTGTTCGGAGCTTCTCTTCAATGTTCCTTTGCTCGAATTCAGTGCTTGCTATGCGTTTCTGTAGGGAAGTCATAATTTTTTTGTATTCGTTTTCACTCGCCAGCAGTGCCAAATTTTCGCATCTTAGTGACTCACTAAGAGAAAATTACAAATATTATTTAACACATTTTATAACCACTATCACATTGTTATTACATTTTCTGCTGCAATTTCATGTTGTCTTCCAATCGATTTTTGGAGCACTCTCGCAATCGATGAATTTCGCACTCCATCGCTTCACTGGATCAATCACAAAATATTAATAAAGTAATAATAATAATAGCGCCTTTCTTTAAATACTGACATTTTTTCTATAAAAAACTTTTGTCTTCCTTCTGCCTCACGTTTAAATAATTCTCTGCAAAATATCATAACCGTCGTATGAACTAAAAGTATGTATATTAACTTTACAGTATTTGACTAACATTTTTTGTTCCAATAGCCTTGTAGCACTTGGAATTTGTTTGTATTCGGCTGTCACCTCCGCTAAAGGAATTCTTGCAGTCACGGGTACATTTTCCTGCTCAACTTCTGCAATTGTTTTGGCAGCCTCCAACAAGTCGGAAATGCCGAGTTTTTTTGTTTCCTGTAATCCACAACTATGGGTGCCTTGGGCCACAGGGTCATTCTCAATTTCCTGCTCATTGTTATCGGCTGCCACCTCCACTATAGAAATCCTCGCAGTCACGGCTATATTTCCCTGCTCCACAGCCTCTGCAATTATTCTGGCAGCCTCCAGCAAGTCTGAAATGCTGAGCTTTCTAGCGCTATGGGTGCCTTCAGTAACATGCTGACTATTGTTGATGGTCGGAAGAGCCCCTTTTTTCAGAAT